CCTGCTTAAACCATCAGTACATTTGGACCCTATTTTCATGGTAGAGCATGCTTTCCTGCAGCTGGCTAAATTATCTGTGCTTACAAAAAAATATAATGAATTTAGCTTTTTTTTCTATATGTGAGGGAATCACAAGTAGATCTCAACTTAGCTTCCCCTCACATAAGCTTTTTCAGACTGTAGTTACTAATTTCAAGAATTCACTAATAATTTTATAACAGACTAAGCATCACAAATTTTGATTTTTCTTGATACATTCATAATTTTGAATGTATCCTTAAATAATGAAATAATAATTAAATATATTATTAAATATAAAATATTCAATAATTAATAATTGTGAATGAGTTATTTTAAACTGTCTGAGTGACTGCTTAAAAAATAGAAATGAGCAGAAAATTTGGATGAGCTCACTCAATGTTTTTGCAAATCCACTCATTTTTTAAATGTATACATTTGCAAACATGCCATTTAGCTTTTTTTTTAGCAGCCCATGCAGTTTAATTTGTGTCTGTGTATGACAGAGCTTACTGCAGTGGATTATGGACTGTGACTAGCCACATAGCTGGTAACAAATACAAAAGTATGAATTTGCCACCTGACAACTTCTGATTGATCACCTCAACCACGTGCCACTGTAACTATTCGTCCTACACATGCAATCTTTGATCTATCTATTCCTGTCCCTCTTCCTCACAGCTTGAGTGGCCTGATCTTGTACTTTGAATTGGGAAGGGCTTTTTTCAGCATGAGTTCAATAGCCATAGGATGAAAATGAAGTATTTTCAGTTGAATGATAAGGAAGGATTAGGTTTGCTCAGAAACACCATGCTTTGCATACAGAAATAGATGTTGGCATGGAGTACAGCCACTACAAAAGCACTGATGCAAAAAAAATTAACTTGTAAGATTATTTGTACTAGCAGTACAGATAAAATTGCATAGGTATAGCTGAGTGGTTCTGCAGGTCTTGATTCTTTGCTCCTTCGGATTGTACTCGTTTTTCATTCCTGTTTTAAACTGGGTTATCACAGTTGGCACTGAACACGTGGGGCATCCTGTTGTGACAAGAGCAAAAACCTAGGGTAGACAGAGGTATGTGCTCCAGGAATTTAAAAGAGAATAAAGGCACAGAATGAGATTTCCCCTTTAAGATCAAGTCCCTAGAGTTAAATATTACATCACAGCAATGCACTGTAAGTCAAAAGGGCTGAAAATTATAAATTGCAAGTTTGGATGATTCATGCTGTCTGGCAGAGTCCAAAGCTTTGAGGGTGAATTGAAAATATCCTGTCACAGCTGGATTTATATAAACCTCTGGGCCAAATGCTGATTCCACCAATATCAATGGTAAAGCCTGCAGATGTCACTGGAAACAAGATGGCACAGCTGTGTGAAAAACAATGCGCTCAGCTACATGGTCTGGTCTGGTCTGCGTGTAAGCAGACTGGAGTGTTATTCAAGCTTACCAGATGACTTCTAAGGGCACAGTTGTGTGCAAGTCACCCCCTTATAAAATGTGAGTTATTATATGTTCTTAGTAGTTTTTGTTCACAAGATGTATAATGTAAGTAGTCTACTTAAATGAATAAGCTTGATATCTGGTAGTGCTCAGCATCTTTCCTGCTGTTCAAGTCAATGTAAATTATGGATGTTCTGATCAAATTACTTTTGAATTAACCAGACCATTTACTCAATGGTTACTTTTTCTCTGAAGATAAATGAGAGGGATTCCCATTTTAATCAAAACAAAATACAGAAAAGAAAATCAATTACTATTTAATGTTTTTTCCATCACTGTGTGCTGGAAAGCTTCCAGAGGGACTTGGGCTTAAAACTGCAAAAATATAAAACGCAGGAAAGTGGCTGGGTTTTACCTATTGGATTTTTTTTTTTATTTTTTATGCTATCAGAAAATATTGGCAGAGTGTGGGTTTGTTGTTTGTGGTGTTTTTTTTTTTTTGAAAAAAAAGGGTAAAAAAAAATTCTAAACAATTAATTAAGGAAAAGCAGACTACAGTAGATTGCTTTGTGAAGTAAATAAAAATCTGTTGATACAGGTACAAAACCCCTCCAAGCAAAACATTAAAAACCAGCCGACCCTATATATAAACCAGTGTGATTTTGCTGAATTCTTTAATGAATAACTTAGTGGATTAGGGCTTGATAGATGGAGTGCTCACATCCAGATGTTTACTGTGATTTGTCAATGGCCTTGTACTTAATCCTCCTGAACAGGAAATATGAGTCTTTTCTCTAGGGTCTCCCCTGGGGACTGTGGCAGTCTCTCTCTCTGGCCTGAATCATCTCAACACAGGATCAGGCTGCTGGGGAATTAACCAAGTGGAGGAGACATGGATTTGTTTTTAACCCGTTCAGTTTCCTCTCAGCTTCAGTTGACTTCCTCACCATCTGCCATGATGGGCAAATTGTTTAGTTAACACACAGAGAGGAAAAAAATGAGTCACCCGTGTTACCCCCTGAGGAACATTCATGGGGTCCCTGACCCCACAAAATGTGTCAAAGCAGACGCATCTAGTCCTGCCACCACTGAGGAGGAGGGCTGTGGGCAGATTAAGCCTCTAGAGGCTGGTGTGTGCATCTCTCCACATCTCAGCGTTGTACTTTTATTTTTGTGATGCTGCAGCTCCACAGCCACTGTCAGTGACAGGGGTGGCCCAAAAGGGAGTATTTGTGAAAAGACTGGATGTCCCTAAGGTCATACCTTAGTCAGGTGTACCAGAGAGTGTGTAGTGTGTGTGTATCTGCGTTTGTGTATGACTAAAGGAATACCACCATTGAATGACAGCTCCCAGCAGCCACATCACTGCCTTTTCTATGTAATGTATTGGGTGGTGCTCGTCAGCCCATGACATCTTGGATCAGCCAGTTGCATCTGCCCCAGTACCTGAGAACAGGGGAGGCCAGTGCAAAGCCGAAAATGCAGCAGCACAAGCGAGGCAGTTACAGCTATCTCCTACGTGGTGCAGGTGCCCATGATTACACAGGTCTGAGCACAGGCATGCCTCCAGCATGTACAGGACATAAAGATATGATCATTCTTTTCTCCCCATGGCAGTTAAGGTGCCATTGGGGATGCAGCCTGCCTTTAGGTAGAAGATAAAGAATCTCTAGCCTGAACAGAGTTTCTTCTGCAAAGCTTGTGTAAGCCCCTCATTGGTGCTAGCTGGTAAAGTGGGGACTCTTAGAAGAACTGCATTTAACCAGCCCCTTGAGGCTGCCTATCCAGGGCAGTCCCATTTACTAGCCCCTTATCCAGCCACAGGAGAAAACCTGCAAATGACTCTGCAGGGTAAGCCACTAAGAGTGCTGTGTGGACCGGGTAGGGGGAGGAAAAGCAACACCCAAGTCAGAGAGCATGACAACAAGTTATTATAACTGGATTAGAAGAACCGAGTGGCAGTGGGAGCTGGAGAGAATGGTTAAGTTTTGGTGTGGATGGGCTAGAGTCTAAGGGACTGATTGCGTGCATGTATGTGCTCAGGGTAAAAAATACTTCTTGCTAAATCATAATGAAAAAAGCAGAGAGGTGAGGGAGCAGGCACACGTGCCAGCAAGTCATCAGTTTTATGTTGTGTACCTGGTTACATTCATATGCAGGTGAAAGCACAGTTGAGTGTCTGTGGATGCCTGTGACTGGCCCTGTGAAAGGGACCTAGTCGCTGAGCAGACTCCGAAGGTGGTTGTGACAGCCAGGTGCCACAGTTCCTGGGGTGCAAGTTAATGATTTTGACTGGCAATGCCTCTGGGAGATCTGTATGGACATGTCTAGGGATGTTTCCTCTTGAAATAAAGTGTTATTTCTGAGGTAAGGTTTAGAGGGAGAATTATCTTGCATTACAAGAGCTGACAGAGCTGGAAAACCAGTGTGCAAGCTCTTCCTACAGATATAATCCCTGGCATTCACTGAAAACAGATGAGCCAATACTTGCTGGGGTGCACAAGTGTGTCTGTATTTATCGCAGTTTCCTGGTCCCAAAAGGTGTTATACACATTTTGCAGGTTTAATACATTATTCCATTAAATAACTGTAAATTAAAGGGCCATTATTTTAAAAGGGCTGCTCTAGAAAACTTATCTGTCATTTTGCAACTAGGAAAATACTTGTGTGACAGAAGTGGTCCTTCACTTCAAACACTGGCAGAACAGGTCAGCCATTCTGTGACAGAGTTCTCAAAGTAAATTAAGGGGCACAGTTGTGTTATGGGCAATTTATATCTTACAGTAACCAGTTAATGTAATCACGGTTTTCTTTTTGGGCACTGTTTCTAACATCTTTGGGCATATTTCATGCACAGAGGTAACATTTTAAATTAAGTGAAAACCCACTAATCCCTCTGAATCTAGGTAAACTTTTTGAGGGAGCTGTCAGTACTACCACAAGGACTGAGTAAAAATGTCACTGCAGCGATGCCAACTGAAAAGCAAAATGGTCTTTCACTTAGTATTTTCTATACATATTTTGTTTGAAACCGAGAAACTCTGCCGGAATAGAGATATATATATATGGTTTAAGCCTATAGTATTTGTATACATATTTAGTATATTCCCATGTAGATCTTCAGTAGAATAGATGGGTTCATGAATATAGCAAATAAGATCTTAGCATTGATTGTATTACTGAACTGTAATTGAAGTCACTGTGTAAAACTGCTTCAATTCCTTTTTTTTTTTTTTAATAAAATGTGCATCTACTGAAACATATCAGCCCTGGATGTGGGTTTAAAAATGCATCAAAGGTAAAGTACAGTTTGCAAATGCCAACATGAAGGTAACCCGATAGAAATGTTGTCACCTGCTGGCTTTGGAAGCATCTTTTGGAGCTGCACCATGATAAACTGGGGGGAATGCGGGGGGGGGGGGGGGAGAGAGAACAAGCAAAACTGAAAAAAAAATACCCCAAAATACCCAATCCCTTCCTTTGTTCTCATTACGCTGGGGGGGGGGGGGGGGGGGGGGGGGGGAAGGGGAGTACACACACACACCAAGAGGCATCAGGAATCCCCTGGGCTTTCGATTATGATTTTCATTACCGGGGACTGCGGGTTGACAGCCAGAGCCCTCTCTGCGAGCAACCCCTTTAGCGAGAAATCCACGCGTGGGGGCCGCACCGTAATCCCCACGGGGAGGAGGGATTCCCGCTTCTCAGGAGCGGGTCCCCGCCGCGAAGCCCCTGTCCGTCTCCCCACATCCCTTCGCCGCCGCGGTCCAGCGGCACCTGCGGCATCCGCAGCAGCCGCTCTGCTGGGGGCCCGTCGCGGTCCCCACGGGTGCGATACACTGCCCGGAACGTGTCGCTGCCCCGGTGCGGAGCCCTCCCGCGGGGCGGGGGCGGGGCGGGGGGAAGACGGCATCCCGGTGCCGGCACAGGAGCGCGGAGGAGAAGGGATCCTCTTTGACGTCAAGCGACCATAATATAATGATCGCTCGTTCATATCCGGGTCCCCGGGCGGCTCCCCCGGCCGCCGGTCGGCCGTGCGCCGCCGCGCAGTGAGGCGGAGGCGGGCAGGGCAGGGCAGAACAGGGCAGGGCAGGGCAGGGCAGGGCGGTCGGCCGGAGGTGTCCGCCGGCGGCGGCGGCGGCGGCGGCGGCAGCGGCGGAGGAGCGGCGAGCGCAGCATGCCCGCCGCCTCAGACGCGCCTGCCTCCTGCCGCCGCTGCCCATGGAGATCGCGCTGGTGACTCTGGAGAACGGCGGCACCACGGCCATCGCGGGCAGCGAAGATGCCACGGCCGGCGGCAGTGCCCGGGCTCGGCGGAGGGGCAACTTGCTGCACGTCGCCGGCTCCGCCGCTGCCGCTCCACGGCTGAACGACGGCAAGGAGGGTGCCCCGCCGCCGCCGCCGCCGCCGGAGGACGAGGAGCGGCCCCCGCTTGCCCCTCGGGGAGGCGGCGAGAGGCGCCGCAGCGGCAGCGCGTGCAGCCCCAACGAGCGGGCGGCAGAGCGCGGAGCGGCCCCTACGCTCCAACCGCCACCGCAGCCGCCGCCGCGCCGTGGTGCGGGGATGGAAATGGGCCCTTCGGAGGAAGGGGGGCACCGCCGGGGCATGGCCATGGCGGTGGCGGGCGAGGAGGAGGAGGAGGAGGCGGCGGCGGCGGCGGTGGCGAACCAGGGCGCCATGCACCACCAACGGGTGCTGATCAACATCTCGGGGCTGCGCTTCGAGACCCAGCTCGGCACCCTCAATCAGTTCCCCGACACGCTGCTGGGGGACCCGGATAAGCGCATGCGTTACTTCGACCCGCTCCGCAACGAGTACTTCTTCGACCGCAACCGGCCCAGCTTCGACGGGATCCTCTACTTCTATCAGTCCGGGGGCAAGCTCCGTCGGCCCGTCAATGTCTCCATCGATGTCTTTGCCGATGAGATCCGCTTCTACCAGTTGGGTGAGGAGGCCATGGAGCGCTTCCGGGAGGACGAGGGCTTCATCAAAGAGGAGGAAAAGCCCCTGCCCCATAATGAGTTCCAGCGACAGGTCTGGCTCATCTTTGAGTACCCTGAGAGCTCCAGCTCAGCCCGAGCCATCGCCATTGTCTCCGTGCTGGTCATCCTCATCTCCATCATCACCTTCTGCCTGGAGACCCTGCCAGAATTCAGGGATGAGAGAGAGATGCCTGTGCCCCAGCCCACACAAAGTGGAGGTTTGAATGGCACGACTGTGGAACCCCAACCCATGCAGCCACCCAGTAGTCTCTCTGACCCCTTCTTCATCATTGAGACCACATGTGTTATCTGGTTCACCTTTGAGCTCCTTGTCCGCTTCTTCGCCTGCCCCAGCAAATCTGAATTCTCCCGCAACATCATGAACATCATCGACATCGTGGCCATCATCCCCTACTTCATCACCCTGGGAACTGAGCTGGCCCAGCAGCATCAGCCTGGGACTGGCAGCAGCAATGGGGGTGGGGGCCAGCAGCAAGCCATGTCCCTGGCCATCCTCAGAGTCATCCGCCTGGTCAGAGTCTTCAGGATCTTCAAGCTCTCCAGGCACTCCAAGGGGCTGCAGATCTTGGGACAGACCTTGAAAGCCAGCATGAGGGAGCTGGGCCTCCTCATCTTTTTCCTTTTCATCGGGGTGATCCTATTCTCCAGTGCTGTCTACTTTGCCGAAGCTGATGACCCTGAGTCTCATTTTTCCAGCATCCCTGATGCCTTCTGGTGGGCAGTGGTAACCATGACCACTGTGGGATATGGGGACATGCGACCTGTCACCGTGGGGGGCAAGATTGTGGGTTCTTTGTGTGCCATCGCGGGTGTGCTCACCATCGCCCTGCCTGTCCCTGTCATTGTGTCCAACTTCAATTACTTCTACCACCGAGAGACTGATCATGAGCAAGCTGTTCTCAAAGATGAACACAGTAGTGCTCAGGGCAGTACAGCTGGGGGAGATGTGAAGAGGAGAGCCAGTAGAAACTCTCTGAACAAATCTGTTGTGCACTTGGAAAACAGTGAGGGGTTCAACAATGGCACCAGCTCCTTAGAGAAAACCAATATCAAAGCAAAAAGTAACGTAGATCTCAGAAAATCCCTCTATGCTCTCTGTCTGGACACCAACAGGGAAACAGACCTGTAAGGAGAGGAGAGAGTTAGTTCAGAGATGCAGAAGTATTTGCTGGTGTCAGAAACTTACTACTATAATTATTATTTTGGTACCAGTTAGTTTTTTTAACTCAGGCTATATTTTGTAAATTGATCACTGTCCTGAGTAGTCCTCCAGGAATATTTAACATGTTTTTATGTTCTTTTTCCATGACACAAAGGGTCACCTATTTTTAAAATAGACTAAGAACAAGCTATGCTCCATGATGCAGGAGCTGGTAAATTACAACAGTGCAAAATCTAATTTGTAGAAACTTATTTTGGCAAATGGCGGTCGGTTTTAAATGGGTCATTTGTAACCAATTCAGTTGCTCCATGTTTAGTATTAAAGAGTTGGAGGATGCGTGTGTGGAGAATGAATGGATTGGGTGGGAGGGAGTTTGAGGTTTTTGTACTGTAGTTTCAAATTGAAATTGTTCCAGTATATTTTCTATCTATCTGTATAACTGTATTTATGGTTGAAAGGGGATTTCTTATTCCTGTGAAATGAAACATCCGTAAAGCACTAGGAACATCAGCAGATCAGCACTTTCTGAGTTTTCCACTTGTGGTCTGTACAGATTGGTTAGGTAGTATGTGAAGTGAATTTGGTGCTTTTAACCCTAGAGCAGAAAACTTCTGTTGTCATTGATATGTTAGTTTCTTGTGAGCCTTAAATTATTAAATACTGTAGATACACTTCTTTATAAATAACTTTATTAATTACCTTGCTGTTTCAGAATTTCTAAATAATTTAGTCGTGTGCTTTACTGTCCCCACTCAAAAAAAAAAAAAAAAAAAAAAAGTATGTGCATCTTTTGTGAGTTTTGTAGTTTTACAGGTTTATATCTGTCTTCATTAGATTTTTGAGACCCAAAGAGAAAAAAATACTGTCTGCTGTTACTGGTTTGGATCCAAGTGCACAACAGAGTAAAACCACGAGGGAGTGGATAGATACAAGAAGAGGGTAGAGTATGAGTGCAATATCTGCAAATCTATTTTCAGTGTACACTCCAGATTACTTTGGCATGTGTATCAGTTACCTTTATTCATCCATACCATTTATGTACACAGTTCACTGGTTTTAATTATCATAGACTGGAAATGGATGGCACTTGAAAGAGTCTAACATGGCATGCCGTGCTCTTAAATAACCATTGCTTATATCTTGGACTTGGATGGAAAGCATCACCTTTCATCAAAACACATCCTTGTTTTCTTTTTATTTCCAAACAAAACCTTTTCAGTGCTGTGGATGTTACAGTTAAGATGTTGCTGAAAGACAAATAACAGCTTATCTTCGTCATGATAACACAACACTGTACAACTTACTAGTGAAGACTGACACAAAGTTGCTTCTTTAACTCAAAAAGCTGTGTTATTGTTTTTATTGCAAAGGACTCTGTTTTCCCCTGAAACTTCTGTTTTATTACTGAAGGATGTTTCATGCCTTCACCACATACAATGGCAGAGCAAGACTAGCAGAAAGAGAAGTCTTGATTGTCAACGCTCAAGGTTTGTTTCTAACAAGTTTTCTAATACAACTTAAGTAAATACTAAATCAGGATTATAATTTATGCAGGTATCTCAGATATATGAACTGTGAGAAATATAAATCAGCTTTGCAAAACAGTGCTTTGACGTTCTTTCATCCAAACTCAGACTCTGCTTACTTGTCCCTTACCATGCTGTTTAATGATAATGGCCAAATGTATGATGTTTTTTTCCTTCCTCTTCAATAAAACAGGCATGGTATGTGCCAGGCAAGTAGTATTTTTCATGTTTCGGATAAAGAGCTGTCAAACATTGCTCAGCCCAAAACCTGGGGAGAGGGGAAGGATGTCGAATCTGATAATAGAGAACAGGATCTTTCACATTAATTTTAGATGTTGGTTTCTTGGTTGATTTGCTTGTTTATTTAGAAGGGGATTGATGCTGTAATATGTTGAGAAACTGTTTGCAACATGACTGATTGATACACAAAGTGCCCAGTTCAGCTGCACTCCTGACTCGGGCAGATCTCCTGTTCGCTTTAGTGGGAGGTGTTCTTTTTTTGTTGAAATGCAATGCATAATTAGCCCTTTGGTAAGGCTGATATATATATATATAAGGTGATATACTCACCTGTTTCACATGCTGAGATCTAAATCATTGACAGCCATACAGTGAAGCTCCTTTCTCGGCAAGTAGTTTAATTTATTCTCAGTGATTAAATCCATCTGATTCACCTGATATACCAAACAATTCAGTGAGTCTTTCAGGGCTGAAGTTTGGTTATGTCTTCCTCTAACTACTACCTCCACTTCCCTGACCACTTTTGTCTTCCATACTTTGCTCTTCTAATTGCTTATTGTGCCAAATTAGGCTGTCAGCTCCTTAGAGCTGGGGCAGTGTGTATATGCAGCCCCTCATGTAACAGTTGAACCCTGCTTATGGGCAAGGCTTCTGGATATTAATGATTTGGATTACCTAACAGTAATTACTGTTATTATTATAATTATTATGTATATAGGGCTATGGAGAGTGGGCTGAGCTGATCTTAAGACAGCATTACTGATGAAAAGGGAAGGCCTTCTATTCCTCCTTCCTTTTCAGTTTTCTTCCTCCCATTGTGTCTTTTTGTTACTAACCCTGAATTGATTCTGTCCTTGTGCAAATACAAGTGTAATAAGTGCTGCCTTCTCTTCCAGGAGCTGCTTGACCTCACTAATCTGGCAGAAAATCCAATGTAGCAACAACAAGAACAAAGTAGATCTTTTTCTGTCAAATTAGTGAGTTGTAAAGCAAGTGATTGCCAGAGCCAGTGCTAGGAAGGGATGGAGAAGGTCCACAGTTATAGGGAAGTGAGGAAGCAGGGAGGAGTGAAATCCTCACCCTTCAGTGGCAGTGAACTGTTATGTTATCACAACTGCTTGTTGAACCCTTCTGCGTGTTTGCAGAGATAACCCAGGACTTGGTCTTGCAAGGTGCTGCGGTCTTCCCACTGGAACCAATCTGCAAAATGCAGCTCTGGATTACAGCATATGTGCCCTGCTATAACTGAGACTAGAATTCTTCCCAATCAAGACCAAGCTCTGAGAGCAGAATGCCCTGACTACTGCACAGGGTTATATGCAAGCTTGTGAATTCATTCCTCAACCTTCAGTTAGAAAGAACACGCTACATATTTCCATAATAAACAAAGAGAACTTTCCAATGAAAAGAAAACCAATTATTCTCAAAATGTGGTTAAAAATATTTGTTTGGATCGGCTTTCTAAACAGTTGTCAAGCACAGCTCAGGCAAACTCAGCCTTGACACCTTCTTTACAAGGATGCATTCTATTGGCTTATAAGGCAGCAGAGGATTTGCTTTCTAATAAGAGAGGTTGTTGGCAGAAACTGAGTAATATGACCAGAAACATGGATTGATCACAATTCAGCAAAGCACTTAGTTTGAGCTCAGCTTTAAGCACATGCTTAAGTAAACATTGCTCAGCAGGTATTTTTGGATGCGCTGATCTTTGAGATAGTTATTTAAAAGATGAACTACATACCCTGCTGAAACCTTTGAGCCATTAGTTCCCACTGGACTTTGGTGCAAATATTTAGGTGCATGGCAGAGTTTGTGAGCCTGAAAACAAGTGGTGGTGCTCTGTAAATCAGAGCACCAGATCCTTACTATAGAAAGACTGCCTCTTCCTGCAGCCACTGCTCACCTATCAGAGCAGTCGCTTTGACATGAACAGTTGCAGGCTGAGTATTAGCATTGTCTGCATGAAGAATTGAAGCTTTGGCCCAGATGAGAGTGTAATTGGACTTTCCTGCAGTGAGAACCAGCTTTTGCTATAATTGATTTTGGTGTCAAGAAGCTTCATTGAGTTCAGTAGGCAGCATGTGTCTGTGTCTGGGATACAGACAGTGCAGAAGCCTTGTAACATGTTGATGCAAATTTCCACTGAAAAAATATAAGAAAGGGAGAGCCAAATCACTCTGAGAAAGCTCCTGCAGATGTGAAACAGGAAGAGTTTAGGCTGTGTATGCCAATTCTAGGCTCATTACAAGAAGGAAATCTGTCCAAACCATTATTGAGTTTATGTTAGCTGACCTGGAATGAATAGCAAACTGAATAAAACCTCTTTGGAATATCAAAAGCCACAAGATAGCAGAGCTTAACGAACAGCAAATCACTGTAAATGTAAAAAAAAAAAAAAAAACCAAAACCAAAAAAACAAAGTCAAACCCTAACACTTTTTTGTAAACTTCCTTTACTAGGAGCTACATCACAGAATATTTCTCACCCCATGCATGCCTACATGCCATAGTTAGTAATGGCTTGTCGTTACGTGCAGGACAGTATGTACTGAAATGCATTACCCTTCCATTCTTCCATTTTGGGGATGCTGAAGTGGATATTCCTTTGTGACAGCGGTAATGTTAGTTTGCTTAGCCTGGCCCCAAGGGAAGTCTACATTCCCATTTTACTTTTCCATCATTCTAAAAAATGGTAAAAACTGGCAGTTACGTAACTCCATTCATCTCCTAGCACTTTATGAACAATAGTACAATGATCTTCTATATACAAGCATTGTAAAGAAAAGGCTATGCGAGGGAGGAAAAACCAAGCCTTTCAAAGGGGAAAAGGACAGGAGAGGCACAAAAATTGAGTGGGCTTGGCTGGACTGGGACATCTAAAATATGAGCTCTCAGAGGGGGAAGCAGGGAGAGGAGGAGAGAGATTCACCCTGTGGTCTCCATCCTGGTCTCTTGCATTGCTGTGGGTGGCTCTGCAGGCAAGGGCTGTATGCCAGTGTGCACTGTGACCCATCTGATGGGGTCACTGAATACAGAGGCAGAGTTAATGCTGCTTTGAGCAGCACAGACAAATCCCTCTTTTGTGTGCTCTTTTTATTTGGACTTTGTGAGGAGAAAGTGGCACTTCTGTTGGCTGTTCCATGGCGTTTCATACTGCAAACAGCACTGTTCTGGTGGTGGTGGTGCTCTTGATTCACAGCGCACTGAGCGTTGCTCTGAAGTAGCTTCCCTTCTCCATGCACTGGCTGTTCACCTCTCATTAGGTAACAAAGCAAATAGCAGTGCACTTTTACTCTCAGGGAAGAGAGGTATGTATGCAAAAAAACTTACTCTTCTGAAACGTATCAGTTAAATGTATTAGTTGTGACCTAAACCCGGGAGACCATTTAGCAGCATGCAACAGTGCTACTTAGCAGTAGTGACAACTACCTCTGTGAGATTTGTTCAGGTCATTTGGCAAGATGTCATGACCAGCAGCGAAATTTGATAAGGCCTACATGCAGATTGCTGCCACACTTGGGGAATAACAAAAGGAGGGTTTTAAAGACCTAATCAAGGCTTTGGTCTTGCTACTTGGCCAGTGATGGAATTGGTATGTTGTATGGCAGTCAGTGTGTGAGAGAGACCTCACTTAATAACAAGGTTGATCCTGCTGAGGGCAGAGGAAACTGTGAGATAAAGCTTTAACATCATCTGCAAGCCTTTGGTGCAGCTTTAGCTTGTCATTGTGTGACCCACCAGTTTCACTAACCTCCCTCCATAGGCTGCCTTGGCTACAAATGTTTAAAAAATGGAAGAGAAAAGGCCTTTATAATAATATAGCCTATAAACAGTAAAAATCATTGTTCCAAAATCTTTCTGCCAAGGTTTATGTTATATTCAGCAACTCAAAATATTTTTTTTTAGTGTGTTTGTAGCTTCAGTACAGTTTGG